GGTACCAAATACTAATTTTTGACAATATACATTTTACCATTTGAATGTAGTAAAACAAAATTTTACTATGTTCATTATAGATTTTTATGTGTAATTTTTTTTCTAAGTTGTTCCTGAAATATATATAACATTTCTTTTGAAGTGTAATTTAATATTTGTCTTGAAGCAATTAATGTTCACCAATTATTTATTTTTGTCATTGAAAATATGATAGTAAATTTTGAGGTACACCGTCTCAAGCTTATCATAATATAAACATCCTTTTATTTGTTATCATTTTAGAAATGACGGAGATTAAATTTGGAATAGACCATTGAAACTCTTATTTTACATGTTAATATGTGACTAAATTTGTTCATGACTTAAGTTTTACTAGATACCACACGAAATGTTTAAACAGAGTTTATTTGTACAGTTGATGTTATTTCATAACTTTTATAGTAATAATATATTTAAAATTAAAAATGATTCACGTGTAATGCACTTGTATACAAAAAAAATATACAATAAAAGTACCCTATCATAAACAATAAAAGTACCCCATCATAAAAGTACCGTATCATAAACAACTTTAGATTCATTAATATAAAATTGTAAATACCATATTATTCTTCTATAGTTAAATAGTTAAATTATCATTATATCCTTAGTGTTCAAATCTTCAAATTACCCTAACATCTCTTTTAATTATGTATTCTTTGGGCTCGTTTGGTAGGCGTATTATGAATGAATTAAATATTGGATTATACTATTTTTTATTTAATCGGGTCTAATACTTTGTTTGGTAAGCAAATTTGATACCGTATTAATTTTAAAAACGTATATTTATCATATATTTTGTATACGATATACATATATTATGGAGATCTTTTAATACCACAAAGAGATGTGGTATTATAATTCAAGTTAAACGTATTATTCTAAACATTTACTATTATAACCCTCCAAGTAATAAAATCAAGTTGTCATTAATGTAACAAACACCGATTGATGATATTTTTATTAATTCAACATTCATACGATGAAAAAAATTTTAGCCAAACAATTGATTGGATTAAATAACGATTATCTAACGCTTATATTGTGTATTGTCAAACACTAGATAAAATTACGTATTATTTTAATATCATATTTAATCTTGTCTTTTATTTATCTCTATTGTATTAGACTGTATTATTTTACGTATAAATATCAATATCTATAAAAAATTTTAATTGACTATGTCACCCTTAAAAATAAGCATTGATTAGATATTGACAAGTAGTGTTATTTTATTCAATGAGTTATAAGTTGAAACCTAATCAAATAAATTATTTTTATATTTCTTTCTTATACTTATAATAATGAATCGTTGGGAATAGACAACATTTTTTAAATTCTATAGTATAATACGAACGATAAAAACATAATTTTTATAAACTTGAGATAATATTTAATTTATGTACATATATACCTAAAAATTTTATTAAATTTTTTATATAAAAATTATTCACGTGCAACGCACGTGGTGCATTGCTAGTTCATACAAATAACCCCTCAATCTTTTTGACCCAGTTCTTCAATTAGTAAATTCATGCAAAATCCCCAAAAATAATAAATTGCAACCATGCATAATCCACGCCTTATCACTTCAAACCCCATCCACCTGACCCAGTTGAAACTCTCGAAACTCAAATTCAAGTTCACTAAAGGGCTTCAAGGTCAACACAAATGCCAAACTCACCGGGATGGTAGCTAAATATATTTTATAGCAAACAAATTAGTTGAAAGAGCCTCATAAAGAAAAAGAGATCACTTACTAGAGGGCTTCAGAGACTTTTGCTCCCTATTTTTTGTTTATATTTTAATTTATTAAACTAGAAAAACAAAATGTTCTTCAATCAAAAACTTCCACATGGCATATGTGACTATTCTTTCAACTTCCCTCATCTTTTATAATTTTTTGCTTATTATTTTATTTAAACTATACTAACTTGAATACAATCTTTCAAAAAAAAAAAAAAATCGTTATTTATGTTTGAAATAGAATGTGAATTTTTTTTTTTGAATAGTAATAGTATGTGAATTGATTCGAATTGATACATGTAAACTTACTGCTAGACTTGTCAATGAACCAAATATTCTCTTGAGAACTCATTTATTTGGAAATGGATTCAAAATTTTAACCCAATAATCAGGATTCGATCCAAATCCATTTAAATCACTATAATCGAATTCAAATTTTAATATATATGAATCCAATTTGATAAAAATCCGTCCTCTCCACCCCCAACACGATGGCTGCCTCTCACTCCCATTCCACCTTCAACCACCCGCTCCCCTCTCCCATCTCTCTACACACATGAAGGCTCCATTTGGTTAGCAAGAGAGTGGTGGAAAATGGGAGAAAGAGAAAACAAAAAAAAAAAGCACATTTTATTTCCTTTTTTTAGTAGGAAACCTAATTTCTTGGGATTTTTTTTCCCTCTGACCAGATTTTCCCGCAAAAGGAGAAATCCATTTTCCCACCAAATTTGCATGAAAATATTTTTTTCCCGTGAAACATGGGACCTGTTATCTTGTATACCACTCTACCCCTATTTTAGCAAATGTTAACTCCTCCAAGTTTTCATTTTCATATACAACTCTGATATTAATCACTCTCAGCTTGACCTTGTTTCTCTACACATCTACTCAAACTAATCAAGTGAGTTTATCTTCCACCTCTATTTTATTTTGTGTTGTAGAATTGATACATATCGCAAGTATCAAAACTTTAACCACTCACAGGTTTACCTTGTTTCTCAGTGCATATTCTCTGCTTTATCTTCCATCTTTTGTTTATCTGCACATCTTTATCTTGCTTGCTAGGTTAAGTGTTTTATTGGAGTATGAGTCTGTGACGTAGTAGATGAGTTAGAACATATGGGTAGTAGGTGTTTTATAAAATTTCTAAACTAAAATGAACTATTATTAAAACCCAATTAGACCCACCAAATTAACTTTTGACTTCCCTATTTTTCAAAAAAAAAAAATTTTTGACTTCCCTAAAGCATAGCTGACTGAATCTGTGGTCTGAGCATACCAGTATAACAAAATTTCATGAATAATGGGACTGCCCTCATCAATTTATTACTTCTATAACTTTTTTTTTACCATACTTCTACTACTACAATGAGTGAGAAAATGAAGAAAAGGGGGGGAAAGGGGAAAAAAAAAGTTGCATGACACAACGTGAATTTGTGGAAAAGGGAAAAAAGAAAGTTTGATTCTGCTTTACATAAACTATTAGTTGGTAATTGGTATCTTATTTTTGTGTTTGTTTCATCTATATTTCCATATTTTTATCTGTATTTTTAATGATGTGTTCTTTTTTGCAATTTTTTTTTAATATTTGATCTTTTAGATGGATATCAATGATGATAATGATGACGAGATTGTTCTTATTTATGCACAATTTGTTGGCGTCATGGTTGTTATGTATGGTGCTTACTACTTGCAACAATATGAAAGGAAGCCACAACTTAATTGTTATCTAACACAACATGAATTTGTGGGCGACATGACAGAAAGTGATGAACATTGTCATAATCTATTAAGAATAAATGTGGAGTCTTTTCAAAGATTTGTATGCATTTTTAAAAGAACTTGAAGGCTAAAGGATACTGTACACTATACTGTTGAGGAACAATTAGCAATATTTTTTATATAATATCACTCAATCTCAAGAATCGTAGTTTCAAATGCTACTTTAAGAGTTTTGGGAAAACCATATACCAATATTTTCACATAGTCTTAAATGATATAATAGACATGTAAGATGACTTTTTAAAGCATCCTAATTCTACAATGGAGACACCTACATAAATACACGAAAATCAAAGGATGTAGCCATATTTTAAGGTAACATTTCATTATAGATAACACCTTTTGATATACATTGGAGTTTTTTTTTCATGCATTTCTCATTTGTTATTGATGCAAGTAGGATTGCATGGGAGCAATTGATGGTACACATCTTCCAGTGAAAGTTTCAGCTGAATATATTGCCCAATTTCGTGGTAGAAAACAATGGCCTTCACAAAATTGTACTAGCCACTTGCACGTTAGATTTAAGATTTACCTATGTATTAGCAGGTTGGGAAGGCTCAGCAGCTGATTCTAGAATCTTAGGTTGTGCTATTACTTGGGAGTATGGAATTACATGTCCTCAAGGTAAATATGTAATTTAACAATATTGATAATTATTTAAACATAAAATACCTTACTAAATAACATGTTATTGTTTGTGTAGGCAAATTTTATCTTGTTGATGCGGGATTTCTATTGATAAAGCATTATATTACCCCGTGCCGAGGTACTAGATATCACTTAAATGAAATAAGAGGTCGTGTACCAACCACACCTAAAGAGTTGTTTAACCATAGGCACGGAGTGCAATTGAGAGAGCCTTTGGGTTCCTAAAAAAAAGATTATGAATCTTAGTTGATAAGCCAATGTTTAGTTATACAACTCAGACGAAGATAGTAATTGCTTGTTGTATTGTGTGTAATCATATTCGAGGAGTGATGCCAAATGATCCACTCTTAGCCGTTGTTGATCGAGAGATGCGACATCAACCCGCCACAATGCATGATATTGTTGACACACAATTAACAAGGGCTAAAGATGGAATGGAAGGAAAAAAGAATTCGAACATAAATAATGAATGAAATGTGGACTGATTTTTGTAATGGGCATCATTTGGGTTCTTGATGATATCGTATTTTGATATTTTTTGTTAGATGTAAATGGTAGTGTATGTCTCTTTACTAAGGAATTGAAAATAAATATTACCTTGTTTTTGATATAGTTTGTCTTTCAATTGTGCATGTATGTTGTTTCAAAATTGACTATGTTTCTTTTGTTAATTGTTATTCAATATACGTGAGCTGTTATTTTAGGAATGGAGCGAGAAGAGTCTCAAACCCTCGTAGGAGATAAGAAGAAAAAAAGGAAAGAATGTAGTGTGGTCTAAGGAGATGGATCGATGTCTCATTCTGAAACTTGTACATCAAGCTAATGAAGGTTATAAAGTGGACAAGGGCTTTAAAGATCACACTTATACTGCAGCTTTATCGGGTATGAATTCAAGTTTTAACCTTTCTCTCAGTCGAGAACATTGTGTTAATCGGTTAAAAACCATCAATCAGAAATTTAGAGCCATACAAGATATGTTGAGCAAAAGTGGATTTGCTTGAAATCCAGTGTCAAAAATTATGGAGTGTGGTGATCAAGTCTGGACTACATATGTTTCTATAAGTATTATTTAAATAATAGCAACTTCTAAATGTTACCTTTTTGTAATTCATAAAAAAATGACAATTTGTCAACATATATGTTTGACTATAATGCTTGACATATTTTTATAGGTAAATCTAGATGCAAAAGGATAGCGTGGTAAGAGGATTGATATGATTGGCGAATTAGCTGTTGTGTGCGGCAATGATCAAGCAATTGGAGAATGGCCATGTTGAGGTAAGGATATAAACACTAACTTGTCAAGACAAATGGATGTTAGTGACAATGAGTACACACTGGTCTTCGATCACAATGAGAATACGGCAGTCAACGACTTGGGTGATATAGAAGGCAATGGATCTAGACATCAACAAGACAATGATAGTAGCCAGATACCAACACAAGGCAAACGCAACCATGGATCTTCAAATCCTATGAGATGTCATTCAAAGAAACCAAAAAATGCAGAGATTGTTGTTGAAATAATAAATGCAGTTGCTAATAACATGGCAAGACTAGATGATGCATACGAAATGAGTAAGCCTTGCGTAAATTATTCGGACCTTTACAAAGATGTAATGGATGTTGAAGCGCTTGATATTGATAGTTGAATTACCGATTTTGAGTACTTGAACACAGATCTGGTCAAAGCGAGCGTATTTTTGATATACCTCGAAGAAATGAGCTATTTGGTTTTAATTCGACAACTATCACAAGGTGGTGCTGGTGGTATAATTTAAAGGTCAAGTGGTGATGATGGTGTATGCATTTTCGATTAAAAGATTATAAATTCCATGGACCTAGTTTTCTAGTGTGGTTTTTTTTTGGTGTTGAGACTTTAGTGTGGTTTAATAACTTTGCATGTTATGTTAGTATAACCAGGGGGTGGCCTAACCTAATTTGGGGTCCTAGGCGAAAATGTTATACGAGGCCCTATAAATATTTATTCAGTAATAATAATAATATTAAATACTTATTAAAATATGTTTATTTACAAATTATTTGTTTTGTCTTTTGAGATATAACATATTAATTCAAATTTTACAAATAAAAATTGTGCTAATCGAAGTCAAATACGGAGATCAAATACAATGATACATACTATTTTTTTTAGATAAAAGAGAAACAGAATTGAAAAATAGGTTGACCAGTAAAAATTTTTTTTTTCTAAATGTATATAAAAATAGGAATTTATACAAGTTGAGTAGTCCTAAAATAAATGATATATTGTTAGATATCATAGAGAAAATAGTTATTTTTAAATAAAAAAAATTAGTAAGACAACAATGGTTAATTAATTTGAGATTGCTAGTGCATTACTCTACTAACTTTATTTTGTAGTCATCTTGTGCATTGTAAACAAAGTTATTAAAAAAGAACCTCAAATTTAAATTATACAAATATAAAATTATGATTCGTACCTTATACAATAGACAATTGATTTTAATAATAAGACTGTAAAATGAAAATACATATAATATAAATATTGGGTGAGATAAAAAAATAAGTTGAACTTTAGGGCCCTAAATTTTTTTGAAAGAGATTCTAAAAATTTTACAATAATGCTAATTGCACTTAATTTGAGGATCAAGTACATTAGATAAATAGTGAATTTTGTTTAAATTTAACACTCACTATTAATTCAATAATTAAAATTTATTGAGTTTTAAAATTATATTCTAAAATTTTAATTATATATTATTATTTATTTTATTTTGAGACCCCAAATTTTTCTTTCAATTTAGTGTCCTAGGCAATGGCCTAAGTGGCCTAAAGGTTGAGCCGGCACTAAGAATAACAGAAAAATGGTTTATGCTTGATAGAATTTTAGTTATACCTTTTTGTGTGTCCAGTATAGGATCATTTTTAAGAAGTTCAGTATTACAGTGGGCATGTTCAGTATTAATGTGTTTCATATGAGAATGAGCATGTTAGGTATAGTGTTTCATATGGATAGAATCAATTTTAAGAAGTTATAAATAAGGTCAATTTTGACAATTTTTAAAAAAATCTTGTAACTTTCTTACTTTCCAAACTACAAAATGAAATTTTCTTAAAATTTTCTTGTAAAATTTTCATCCTAATCAAACACACGCAAAATTTTTTTTTTTTTTCATTTTCCTTTCTTTCACTTCACATTCTATTATTTCTATCATTTTCACTTTCTATCATCTTTTTTTTTTAACCAAACAAAGCGTAAGCAAAAGGTGAAGTGTCTACATGTTGCCTTTCAACAGCCAACAACAAATGGAAGGTGGTGGTGTGTAAATGCAACAAATACCATAGAGGAAGAATATGGGTTTTTAAGAAGAAGTCTGGCTCGTCCAGTAAGTTTTGGCTCTTTATTTTTCATTTTTGTTGTTGTTGTTGAATTTGGTGGATTATTGGCAGAGGTGGCTCAAGACAATTTGGGGCCTCAAGCGATACTTCTAAATAAGCTCTTCTTTGTTTAGTGTTAATATTTTTTATTTAAAATTAATTTTACTTGTTTTTTGAGTTGCAAAAGTATTAATCAAGGTTTTATATTCAAGTTTTGCTATCATATCTTTTTCAATTGATAGTGTCGCTAAACCAATTAATCTTTCTTGTGATATAGTCGATTTTAAGTAAGATTTTATCAATTTTAATTTTGAAAAGCTTCTTTCCACAGAAGCAATTGTTACAGGAATTGTTAATAATATTCTATAAACAATGCATACATTTGGAAAAGAATCTAACTTTTTTATATAATTTAGTATCTTAATTGGAGTATTTTCTTTCGTTTGTAAAATTTCTTTTAAAACATTTAGTTCTAAAAATAAATCTAAGTCATCAATATCAAAAAAAATTTGTGTTTTAAGAAACATTCAAGATCCAAACAATATTGTTTTAAACTATTATTGGTCAATGATTTTAATTTTTCTAAGTTAAATAAAAAATTAAAAATATTTTCGTACTTTTGTAATTGTTCAAATCTATTTTTTAGTGAAGAAATAGTTTGACCAATTATATATGTAAAATAATCAATTCTAAAAGATTCTTCACTAAGTTGTATTATCTCATCATCAACATTTTCATCAAATTATTTTTTTCTACGAACTCTATTTTTCACGAAATGTAGGGTCTATACCCATTTCACATGCATTAGATGAAATCATAGCATTTGTAAATCCACTTTCCCTATATTTTTTAAAAAAAGAAATGAGACATATAAACTCCCACATGTTTATCTTAATATAGCAATGAAATTATTTTTGAAATGCTAATATATGTAATAATGTATGCATGAACTACGTGGATTGTAAAAATAGAAATAAAAATGTTAAGCAAGATAATAGGGTATGGATTGAAAGTTAGGAAGTAATCCGGAGTTCAAACACATTTTAGATAAAATTTGGGTAAAAAGAATTTTAGACACTTCTTATTATTTAGATCATAACTTTTTACCCTTATGTCCTTTTGAGCTGAAAGTTTTATAGTAGATAGTAGACTTCCAAAGCTACAAAAGTGTATTTCACGAACATTTTCCAAATCAACCTCTAAATATGTCAAAAACTCACTGAAAGTTTTAGCAGAAATAGGAAGTACGTTCAAACGTGAAAGTCCGTTCGAACGACAGTGCATTCCAATACTTTTTGTCTGATGGAAAAACAAAAATACTGGGAGCAAAGGACGTTCGAACGTCAATGACGTTCGAATGTGAGTTATGAATTAGACCTTCAGAATCGCACACAAGAGGTCACTTCTCACCCAATAAATACATAAGGACACCCCCATTAACCTCATTTCAACATTTCTAACCCTAGGGAGGCTTAGAGAGGAAGAAAGAAAGGAAGAAAAAAAAAAAGAGATTCAAGTGTTGATTCAAGTTGGGGAAAGATCAAATCTTCTAGTTCTTCACTCAAAGCTAAGGAAGGAAGGTAGGGCTTTTCTTCCACTCTTGTACATTGAGGTTAGGGTTTATCTATGTATGTTTTGCTTCAAGATCCTATATATATATGCTATGAAATTATTGATTCTTGATATACTTGCAAATATTACCATATTTTAAACAAAGTCATGTTATATAGCCATGATATCCCTTTTTCTTATCATAAAACCATAGTTTTCAAGAGAAATGAATTATTCTCTTAATTTTTCTTTTGTTCTTGATTTCAAAACTTTAGTGCTTTGTATTGAACAATAAAATGGTATTGTTGATAATCTCTTGCTTATTTTCTTAAATTGTTCTACGGTAATACTACATGTGAAATTTGGGAATTTTGAATTTGCTTGTTATTTGAGAAATTTGTTGAAAATTGTATCTCTTGTAGATATTTGGATGACCATGGGTGGTCGTTGACCAGGTATCATAGAGTGGGTAGATGTGTTTCTTACTCTGTGCAGGTTTGAATTTTTTCTACCACTCGTAGTGGGGTTGATGCCTTGTGAGAATCAAACCACTATTTGCTCACGGGTACCAGGGATGAGGGTTAGTATACTATTCCTGGGTTGGATTTGTCACTATCAATGCGTTGGTATACGTCATTCCTAAAGTTGTATATCCTTACGAGGATTGGGTGGGTGTGTGTGTGAGCTAGGATATTCTCGATATGTTTATTCATGCGATATCATACATCATACCTGAGATATAAGTTGTGGTTTTATATACATTGTTGGAAATGGTACAAATTGTGGGTAGTATTTGTTGTTGTGAAAATAGTTTATGATTGGAAATGACTTATTATTGGGAATTGGTTTTACATTTTCTTTTAATTTATGGATATTGCTTAAACTTGAGATTGGATGAACTGTCATTATTTTCTTTCAAAAGTTATATATGATATTTTTGAAATGAAACCGACTTGTTTTATATGTTTTCAAAACCTTGTACAAGTTTTGGAGAATTTTTCTACAGAACTTAGTGCTCACCCCCTACAACAATATTTCTTTTCAGATTTCGGTTTAGAGGAAGAGCTCGGAGTTGACGAGCAGGTAAATTGGGAAGCTCAAGTGGAGGGCATATGGATCCGGAGGGGGATATCTAGAATTGCCATTTTATGTACTAGACTAGGAGTTTCATGTTGAGATAATGCTCATGTTGATACTTTCTTTATTCCGCCGCGAGATAATAGTTTGGGCATATTCTTTTGGATGTAATAGTCATGGTTTGGCATATTATTTTGGATGAGGTTGTCTATATTATGGATGATGAATGAAATTATCTTTATTTATGGATCTTATTAATTGCTCTCGTGATTTGAATAGTTTCTAGATAGTAATGCCGTCCATGGTGAATTTTGGAGTGTTACAAGACCTTTTAATTGATCTATAGCAATATCAATATGCATGTCTTTTGATAGTAAATATTTACTAACTAAGTTGACGGAAAATAAAATATCATATCAAATAGTCATGCCCAATAAGAATTCAAAATTCTCAATCTCATATGTTGCTAAACAATTAGTTTCACTCCTTGTTTTAGGATCTTCACTAGTTTCCGCTAATTGCAATAATGTATCTCTTATTCTTGGAGCTTGAAATCTTATTACTTTAACACTTTCAACATGACTTTCCCAACGTGTTTGTGATAATGACTTAAGAGTTAAACTTTGAATATTATCTTGTAAAATTTTTCATCGTTTTGTGGAAGAGGAAAATAATGAATTTATACATTGTACTATTCTAAAAAATGATATAGTCTTGGGACAAAAGTTAGTCATATCACAAAGTACTAGATTTAAATTATGACAATCATATGCTGTGTAAAATGCTCTAGGATTTATATTGAGTAGTTTTTTATGTACACCTTGATGTTTTTCTTTCATATTAGACCCATTATTATATCCTTTTCCTCGTACATCATTAATATCTAGTTCAAGATTACTTATTACATCTATAAGTTTATCAAATAAACCTTTTCCACTCGTATCATCTATTTTAATAAACTCTAAAAAATATTCTTCTATTTTTATTGGACTTATTGTAATATCTACGCATCGTAATATGAGAGACATTTGTTCTTGATGACTTGCATCGGGAGTACAATCAAGTATGATTGAATAATATTTTACTTCTTTAACCTTTTTAATAATATTGCTTCTTACTTTATTTCCTAACAAACTTACTAATTCATTGTGTATGTTATGTTCAAGATAATAGTTATGAATTCTATCTTGTTGAATACGACAAACGTGTTCTTGCATTATCGGATCAAATTCTACAATCATTTCAATTAAACTTAAAAATTTGTTATTATTTTCTTGATATATCTTTTCATTTTTTTCCCAAAAAGCTAAATTATTTTTACCAAGATTCTTTACAACAGCAATAATTCTTACTAATATATTTTGTCAATATTCTTTCTCTCTATTAATTTGTTCTTGGATATTTTTATCAATTTTTTTATTTAGTTGCAATCTTGTTTCTAATTCAATCCAAGTATTCATATTAGTTATATACTCATTAGTTATTTCATGATTTTTAAGCTTAACACCAATATTTCTCCAATCTTTTGTTCCTTCATTAGCTAGTTTACTTGTAGAATAATTCATATTGAATAACTTGCAACAAAAACAAAATACTTTATCCAAATCTTTTGAATATACTAGCCATCTTCTCTCAAGTGTTTCTCTATTTGTTAATTTACGAATATAATGCGTAGTAGAAAAATGTCTAAAGTGTTCATCCCTAGGAAAATCTAAATTATTATATCTAATTGGACCATTTTCTACTAATAAATCTCTTAATTTCATATTAATATTTTTCCATTGACTTGGATCATAAATATTTATATGACTATAATCACTTGTTTTATTAAGATTTTGATTGTCTTCTATTTTAATATCTTTTATTTCACTATTTTCTTTTTCAATATTTTCTATTTCATTATCCTCTATTTTATTATCTTTTATTTCAATATTTTCTACTTCAATATTTTTTATTTCATCATCTTCTATTTTATTATCTTTTATTTCAATATTTTCTATTTCAATATTTATTTTATTCTCTTCTATTTCATTATCTACTTGTTCATTTTCAAAATTTTTATCTAAATTTTTTGTTACATTATTTTTGTTACTAGTAACAAATTTATCAAGAAATCCTTTTTTAGATTCAATTAGTTGATCTATTTTTCTTTTCTTTTCTTTTTTAATTTTTCGTATCCACTTGATTGTCTTCTAGGTGTCATATTATTAATATATTATAACTATAAAACAATCAAACAAACACAATATATATTATAGTTAAAAATATATAACAAAAAAATTTTAAATTATTAAACGATAGAACCTAGCTTGAATGATCTCAAATGTTAGTTTTTTTGTTTTAAACCATGTCTCTTATGTTGCAATAAAAACTCAAGTTGATGATGGAGGATGGAGTAGAGGCCGAGTCACCGTCACCGAGTCAGTCACCTGAGTGATCTGTGAGTTCTCCGCTATAGCACTTGGCAAAAAAATAAATAAATAAATAATAATCTATGAGTTCTCAAGTCTTGAAAGCACTGTGAGAGAGGGGGAAGAAAAAAGAGTTTATTTTTTTGTTTCAGTTTAACGAGAGAGAGAGAGAGAGAAAGAAAAAAAAATTATTTTTGTATAGTTGGTTTAGAGAGAGAGAGTGTGTGTGTGTTAAAAAAAAGATATGATTTGACTTCTAGATTATTTTGGTGGCTTTGATATGACCTTTCAATTTTATTTTATTTTTATATTGTTAATTTTTTTTTTTAGATATTTAATGTTTGGATTGAATTATGGACCTAAAATGGTTGATTGGGCTTATAGTTTTATAAGGCTTTTTTTACATGTGTTATTTACAATGTTTAAAAAATTGGGGCCTTCCTTTGAAATAGGACCTAAAGCCCAGGTTTTTTTTACACCTGCTGTTGGGCCGACCTTGATTATTGGTTAATTGAGATGAAAACAAATATAAATTGTTGGATTTATTCAAGAAATTAAGAAGAAATTTAGTTTAATTTGGTGTATTTTTTATTAACAGATGAAATGTTGCTGTAATTCAATCAATTCGAATCCAATAAGATGCTTGATTTTTAGTGTACTCGGATCTAAACAAAAAATTTGATATTCACAAAACAACAGATCAAATTCAGACTCGATATTTTATTTGAATTCGGATCAATTGAGATCCATTCGATCCATTGATAGCTTACTTACAGCGGATAGGGTGTATATATAATATTTTCCAACAAGCTTGTCATTTATAATATTTTTTAGTGTTTTAAAAACCGGTCCGGCTCAACGAGTTGACCCAGTGAATCGGCTCTTGAATCGGGCCGATTTAGTTATCAAATCGTTTAAACCAATGAACAAGATAAAACCTACTAACTCGGTCTGTTTTAGAACAAATTAGGTGAACTGGACGGTTTTACTAAAATAATATAAAAGGAAGTTTCTAGGGTACTTTTTGCCCAAATTTTATTTCACTGTCGTTTTGTTTGCCTTTGGCCTCTCTTATTCTTCAACCGACTGCTCCTCACAGCTTCACAAGTCAGTCATTTCTCTCTCACACACACACACACTTACAAAATCAATCAAAGACTCGAACTACTCTGATTCTCAGATCTTCGACTCAGTTCTTCGACACATGCAGATCTTCATCCTCTTCATCCTTCAATTGAAAATCTAAGGTACATCATCTGGTATTAGACCTCTCTCTCTCTGTCTCTCTATGTGTACTGTTGTATTGTGTTTTATGTAGGTTTTATCGTCTATTTTTAGATTCAATTAATTTTTATTTATATAAATTTGGCCTATTTTAATTTCAACATTTTATCATATTTAATATTCGTTGATAATCAGATTACCCATTTCAATAATTTGTAGGATATGGGTATTAAGGTAGCCATTATGGTACATTGATAATTTATAGGAGGCTTAGAGGATAAATCATATTAGTTATTACATAATGCTGCTATGAAATGTGATGTTGAGGATTCTTGATGCTAGGTTTTAAATATTAAAAATTCTTGTTATTCATTATATATAATTGAACTGCACTGTTGAGATTAGTCATTTGATAATAGTGGTAGTATTTGTATTTTTAAGTGGATTACAATTTACAAATGTCTTGCTTTGGATACATTATGCGTCGAATTGAATGCATTGGATACATATTTAATAATTTTGGGGGGGTTTTATTGATCTAATATATATTAATTATGCTATTTTTATAATTATTGTAAATTTTTTAGTTTATTTATAATTATTTTTTATTTTTTTTATTATTTAACTGATTCGACCCAGAACTAAATAGGTGAACCAATAATCCATTCACCTGGTCACTTCTTCGGGCCGATGTCTGAGTCGTATTTAAAAATATGATATATAAGAAATTTAAGTTGGCAACAGATCAATTTCATCCTCCTCCTTCGCTCTCATCTTCTTTGCTCTCTCTCATCGCCGCTGTGAAGAGCCACCATATATCAGCCGACGGGTTAGTGCCTTTCTCTCTCCTCTCTTCTTCCTAATCTTCTCATTCCTCATTCTTTGTCTCCACACACAATCACGCACACTAACACACACAGTCAAAACTCAGTTCCACCTGTTTAGATGGTTACATCAGATCATGTCGAATTGGTCGAAAATTGTCTTGGATATGTTTAACGAACGATCACAGATTCATATGGATACACACTGATAGACAGAAATGCCACAATTCACAGCTTGGATCATGCGCTCACCTGAAACCCCTTTCAGTTTCTCTTCACTTCGTTTTTCATCCTTGACCTTGATTTGTAGTTTGTGAGTGGTAGATTATGATTCCCTTTTTCTAATCCTTATCGTTTTTCTAATCACTCAGTTCCTCAATGGCTTGAAATTCTTCTGACAGAGAAGTTTTTTCACTCTTGTTTGGTCATGAGTCTGAGAAGAAGAATGAAGAGAACACCTTATGTGTGGATTGCTGCATTAGCTTAAGGCCACATTGCATTAGCTAATTAGGGCAATCCGAGTTGAACCTAAATTTCAGCTTGAGTACCCTAGTTCAAAAATCTAAGCATGGGCACTGTTTAGAAATTATTGCCAAAAAAATCTATTCACGGGCTGTACTTAGGGTTAAGGGTTTAGGTTGAAACTCGGTTTGGATTGAGATGGGTGAGGGGGTTGCATCTTGGGTTGAGCACCCCAAACTCATGTATGTTCTCAGCTTTGACTGTTGCTCGCGTCTCTTATAGTTCTATGCCTTACAAAACCCTAGATTTAAGGTATTTTGGCCACCAGCCCTTACACAACGATCAGGTCAAGCAAACCCCTCCAAGGTTCTCTTGGGATGGATCAAGCATGGTTTTTTGGGTTTAGGAGATACTTTCTTTCAGCTAGTCACTTCTGTTTCTTTTTTTGATTAACAATCTACCATGTTTTTGATTCTTCAGATATCCTTCAAGGTTCGAAATTTTGAATGTGATATGTTAAAAAAAAAATTATTGCTTTTCTTAATCTTTTTTGGGGGGAATTTTTTTCTTAATCAATCCATGAATTAATATAATTCATTTGGATGAAATAGTCATTTATCTATATAAATCAAATTTTTGCAATTCAATTCAATTCCATTCCCGTATGCCACTCAGGTTAAATTTTTTACTCTAGGAATTGAATCTCAGCCCTGGAGTTCAATTTTGATTCCATGTGCCACTCAAATCTGTTTTTTTTTTCTTTTCGACAGTTAGAATAATGTGCGAGTATGTCACCTTCTCATTCCTTCCTTGTTAAATTCCATGAATGCTTCTATTCTAAACTTATTAATAAACTTAAGATTGTTTTCTCCAATCAAAATCTTTGGCGTCTGTGTCGAGAATTGAATCTATTCAGGAAGTGTATGATTCAGTAGCAAATTTTGAAATTAACTCCATATGCTATATACATTTGAAGAACTAGAAGAAAAAATATCCAAAATAAGGGATGCTGTAGTCCTCTACTGTGATATCAAGCACTAATTTTCAAAAATTTTTTTGCGGTCGTGAACACAAGTTTGTATTTCCCTAAGACTTTGCATTACTAATCACACAGTCCATATTGTGATAATTTTTTCTCTCAAAAGTGCTTACTTCACAGGATGATGGAGGTGTTTATTCTTTCATCACGCGAATCTACCAATTTCATCAGCCTAGCAGCCATAGTGTTGCCAAAGCATAGCCATCCTAATATTGAATACTTTATTGCCACTGTGAATGTTTGCTTTCCAATTTTTTCTCTTCACAAATACATACATGGCTATCCTTTGGGCCAACATTTTGATTTTTTTTCAAAGCAATCTATCTAATTACCATTTATGCATTTTTCTCCTGCAATATTGAAAGTAAACAGGAGAGCATAGGCAAACAATAGCTAACCTTAAAACCCTTAAAAGGTGCTTTAGAAAACATATCTCAAAGGAGAACTCAGGCACATATTTAGAATATTGTTTTTTATTTATCAACTCATTAGGTAACTGAATGAAATGTTTCATTTTAAACTCGCGAGTTTTGTGTTCCCCTTTGAATCAGATAAACGATCCAATTAGTTTTGAAAATTTTGAACCAAATGGAATTGAATTGAACCATAAGATTGAAATCAAGAATCGTGTGATCTTGGAAATTATAGTTTTAATAGTAATTGAGATCTTACCAAGTTGATGGCACTGTATTTTAAATTGACACAAATATTTTCCCACAGCCTCCAATGCGCAATACAACGTAATGTTTCCTTTCATCCATAAATTGTATTCAATCTGGATTCTATCACTTGATCTAGCGAATTTAAATTTTGCTTCAGAAGATCTTTTCGCATGGCGAAAGAGGAATCAGTAACTGTGAAAGATGCCATTCACAAGCTGCAACTTTGTCTCCTTGAGGGCGTCCAAGATGAAAACCAGCTAAATATTGTTGGGTCCTTGATTTCTCAGAGTGACTACCACGATATTGTGACTGAGCGATCTATTGCAAACATGTGTGGTTACCCACTCTGCAGCAATTCTTTGCCTTCTGAGCGGCCTTGGAAGGGCCGGTATCGGATTTCTCTGAAAGAGCATAAGGTTTATGATCTTCATGAAACGTACATGTACTGCTCAACTAGTTGTGTCGTCAATAGTCAAGCATTTTCTAGGAGTTTGCAGGAGGAGAGGTGCTCGGTTCTGAACCCTGCAAAACTTAATGAAGTCCTGAGGATGTTTGAGGGATTGAGTTTGGACGCAAAAGAGGATTTGGGAAAGCATGGAGATTTAGGACTCTCTGAGTTGAAGATCCAGGAAAAAGCAGCTATGAAAACTGGGGAAGTCCCTTTGGAAGAGTGGATGGGTCCATCAAATGCTATTGAAGGCTATGTTCCACAAAGAGATCGCAGAATGAAGTCGTCAAGTTCAAAAAACCGTAAAGAAGGTACAATGTGAAGTTCTTTAACTTTGTATTTCATGCTAGTGGCTTTTGTCCTGCCTGTGTAGGTTATAATAAAACATATCCAACCACAGTAGCTATCTTCAATGCTGCCTAATGTTACTTTGAATTTTTGTACCATGGGATTAAGATTTTTTCAGTTCATCTATATTTTTTTTGTTTTGCTGACAGAAGGGAGCTTTAAATGGGTTTGCAGGATCTAAACTCAGGCATGGCCAGCCCAATGAGGAGAAAGACATCATTTTTAATGCAACGGACTTCATGAGTACTATAATATCTCAAGATGAGTATAGCATTTCGAAAATGTCATCAGGTCCAGTAAAGACTTCTTCTGAAGAATCTAAAGAACCAAAAGGAAAACTGAGCTTTAAAGAAATGGAGGATCAGTTAGCCATATTGAACAAGCCATCTGCTCCAGAGCAAATCAATTTTAAAAGTAAAGAATTGAATGAAGAAAATAGTTGTATTGTCACAAATAACAAGATTAACATTTCGCAAGTGACTTCAAATGGCATTGGTATAAATGGAAATGAAGCAGGACAAGGGTTCCATGCTGGAAAAACAGCTGAATGGAACTCCAGCATACTCAAACCTTCTCTAAAATCGTCAGGTGCGAAGAAAGTAACTCGCTTCGTTACTTGGGCTGATGAGAGTTCCAATGATGCTGGCAGTGGAAATCTTTGCGAGTTTGAAGAAGTGGAAGAGAAAAAAGAAAATTCTGGGGGATCCAGCATTGCAGACATGGAAGTCGATGATAATGCGTTTCGATTTGCATCAGCTGAAGCCTGTGCAATAGCTCTGAACGAAGCAGCAGAATCTGTTGCATCTGGAGGTTCTGATGTCTCTGATGCCGGTATATTATTACAGGCGTTTTCATATTGTGATTCTTTTAGTTCCAACAGTATCACTCAAGTCTTGTCTATACTTGATGTATCCCTTGAAGGTCTTGATTGTTTTTGTACTCATTGATTTGATATCCAGTGTCTGAAGCCGGAATTATTATATTGCCACCTCCTTATGATGTTAATGAAGCGGAATCTGAGGATAATGCTCATATGCTTGATTCAGAACCAGCTCCTTTAAAGTGGCCAAGAAAACCAGGGGTTTCACATTCTGATCTGTTTGACTCTGAGGATTCTTGGTATGATAGTCCACCAGAGGGATTTAGTTTGACAGTAAGTTTACTTTGCAATTTACACTTAACGTCATCTTTCACCATTCAAAATTCATGTTTGAGAACATGTCACTCTTTGATTTTTTCAGTTATCACCATTTGCGACTATGTTTATGGCACTCTTTTCATGGATATCATCTTCTTCGTTGGCTTATGTATATGGGCGCGATGAGAGTTTTCATGAAGAATATTTGTCTATAAATGGGAGGGAGTACCCCCAGAGGATTATATTGGCAGATGGTCGCTCTTCCGAAATCAAGCAAACTCTTGCTGGCTGTCTCGCTCGGGCTTTGCCAGGACTTGTTGCTGATCTTAGGCTACCAACACCAGTATCAAGTCTGGAACAACAAATGGTACTGGGTTCTCTGTAGTTCAAAGATATCGGATTAATGATGCATATACTAAAGCTACTGATGTTTCTTTTCCCTTATGGTTGGATTTGGAAAATATAAGATTACTTAACAGCCTCTTTTGTGGGAATTATGTTGTATATATTGCTCACGTATACTTTATAATGTGTATGTTAGTTTTGGCTTTGTTTTATTAACTCAATTTCTATAATCCTGACGAATGTTTCCAGTTTCTGCAATTTCTTTCGATACAATTGGATGATATGCTAATGTCTTCTGTATTGTGATTTGCATAAATCTGTGTATGGTCTACACTTCTTGCCCTTATAATTCCATTAAGAGCATTGATTTAGATAACTAGTCTCTAAGACTTCCTTTTTTTTCTTTTTGTATAGGGCCGCTTGCTGGATACAATGTCTTTTACTGACCCACTTCCCCCACTCAGAATGAAACAGTGGCAAGTGATTGTGCTTTTGTTTCTTGATGCCCTTTCTATATGTAGAATCCCTGCACTTACTCCTCACATGATGAATAGGAGAGTGTTGTTTCACAAGGTAAGATCGTCAGATCTTACAATATTTTCTGGGCATTTTCTTTATATTATTCCCCATAATGTAAGACCATCATCATTGATCTTTTTCAAAGTGGTGTATGTGATCCTTTCCATGGTTCTGTTGCTTGGCACTTGAGTGGTTGACTTTCATCTCAGTTAAGGCTTGAGACCCATTCTGGTAGCAGCTTAGTCCTTGGGTGATGAAGTTTGTTTGTGTAGTGTGGTGCATTTAATTTATTTTCCTTACAACTTGAAGAATGTATATGTGCTGGTTTTAATATTTGTGATGATGCATTTACATGCTTACCTTTTTTAAGTACTTTGGCCCCTGAATTGAACCATAAAGCATTCTTAAATATGTTGTATTGCTGGTCAATTGGTTTGTTGCCATGGTAAAGGATCAAGCTGCCAAGTGTGATAGCACGCTGGTTTTAGTCAAAGTGATGTAGGAGCAAATAGAAAAGGAAATAAATTTCTCACTAGTGTTTGTTCTAAGGCATTTTTGTTAGTTCCATACTAGGATTGCTTTTGTTTGGTTATGGGATTCTCTTTTTGAGTCCCATATATTGTAGCCTTGGGAGATAAATATTTTAGCAGTATCATAGTCAATAACTGTGTTTTTGGACAAGAAATCACTAGTTATAATTATCACCCAAGAGAGTATTAATGTGACAAATTTCCAATTGCTAACCTTGCACGAGTTCACTCTATATACACTTTTTTTGCAGATTTAATTGGAAGGAGAAAACCACAGGCATGTGATCATGAGTTTCTAGACCAAGTCTCATATTGTGTTTATAATCTAGGAGTCTGATTATGAGTAATGAAATTGGTACTCTAGTGCACCAAAAGTAGTGAATGAGCTAAGGAGACCATCAAACGTGCTAAACTATATCAAGTTGGTGACAGCATACAACAATTGTATTTTAAGTTTCAAAACCCATTGAAAACTCAAAGATCAACAGAGATTAGACTCAGAGAATAAAAGACTAGTTTCTTTTGATAGCTACCAAAAGTTGAAATTTACTGCCATAGATTCTTCATATTTGGCAACCTGATTTTCGACCAACTGGCCTTGGCCAAGTTGGTCACCTTTGTCAAGGGGTCAAGCCAAAAGCAAGAGTTAACTTCTTTTGTCCCCCTCTTGCGGAGTTCTATTGTGTCCTCATTTGGGCTTTTCTTTATTTCTTTGTGGATGTTTCTTCTATACTGTGGCTGAATTGTTCTAAATCATAATAGTTGATTGTTCATTGGAATAGTGATCTACTGAAATATATTATAAAAATAACTGTATATTTGGTTTTGCAATGTCTATTAGGTGCTTGATGTTGCCCAAGTAAGTGCCGAAGAATACGAGGTTATGAAGGATCTGATGATTCCACTCGGTCGAGTGCCTCAATTCTCTTCACAGAGCGGCGCCTAACGAATCAAACTAACTTTTTCAGTTGCCTGTATTGCTTCATCTGAAGGTTTGTGCATCTGTCTGTAAGTGAACGTTTCTATACTACTAGTTTATGACAGCAGAGCAGATTAACCTTCTCTTCACTGTCCAAAGTGCCTTGTTTGATCTGTACATAACTCCACAGCTATTAGTGGTGCAAATACAGGTGTTAGCTTTAACTGTTGGAAGCGAAGGAAGGAGAGAGATTGATTTGGGATAACCTAAACAAATCATAGTGCTTTATTCACTTAGATCTAATATCAAAGTTATTTAATTTTGAAGCAGCTTACACAATACTATAAAAAAAAATAGAAAAATAAAAAAATTAGACAATTTTTTAGTAAATTGAATATTTACATGACATGTATGTTATGTTAAAGTCTGTCGATGCAATTAGATACTATTTCAATCTAAATTGTATTTTTGTGTTAGGTTGTTGCATAATATTTGATTATATGTTACTTGTAAGATTGATAATCAAGTCGAGTTTTATTGTCACGTTTAAAAAATGAGTTTAATCCGAATTGAGCCAAAATAATTTGACTCGAATATCAGCCTTAATTACTTGACCAAGTGGGTCAAAAGTAGCATTTTGTTAAGTGTGTAATGGCAAATTACTGCAGTCCTCCAATTTTCCATGCTAAGTGTTGTTTTGAGGGCAAGGTTGCATTATCGAGTTTGTTGTATTGTCATTAATCTAAGTTATTAAATTTAAATGAGATGAATTGTAGTTAGTAATTGAATAAATAAAAATAATAATTATTCAAATTATATATATTTATTGGTTTAAAAATAAATAATTATATATATTTATTTGTTGGGTTGAAGATGGTCCGATGAGGTACATGACTAAGCCCTTTGTCAGCACACTGGTTTCTGAGTCACGGTCTGGTGACATGCCTATTCCGTCGTGTCATTGTGCATTATCCGAATTCCATGGATAAGACTGAGGTGCCATTTGCCACCATGAAGTGGACCTATGATTTGTATTGAATTACTTTTTTTTTTTTGAACTAAGTCTGACTATTAATCATTTCGCCAGTGTCCCATAATTCAATCAAAACAGCAAAGCACTGCCGCATTTTTATACAGGCCAACAACCCTAACTATTTAATTTCTCTATTAATGTTAGAGAGAGAAAAAGATGAATGACTAAGGCGTGAATACATCAATAAGGGTTGTGACGGTAAGTAATTTTTTACGTCACTAAATTTAGTCTATTCAGAACTTTTAACACTTGTAAATAATTTATTTAAATTTAAATCTATTAATGTGGTTTTTTTTTTTCGTTTAAAAGAAATTGAAGAATTCTTTAATTATTTTTTTAAATGAAAAAGGGTCAAATCCCATTAATAATATGAGTGACTTTGATTAGACAAGGCAAGTTCATAATTTAAAATATATATAATAACTATAGGGTATTTATGAAGCCAAGACTTTATAAAATTGCGCCTCATAATTTATTAGTGATAGTGATTTGTTGGGGTAGGTAAATAAGGTCCATGCAAGGCTGATATCAACAAGATAATAGAATAGAATAAAGATAATTAGTCTAACCCACAAAAATTGACACTTAACTACCCAACCAATTTTGACCAAAAAAATAATACTCTGAACCAGCCGCTCATTTGGTTATTCAAACCAGGACTTCGGTCCTACTCCGGTGGGTGAATCTCCCCAGTTGTTGTGACTTGGAGCTCCAGAGGTTGAGTGATCGATTCTCCTTTCTCCTTCCCAACATGAAAAACATATAACTATGGAGCGGTTGCAGGGACAGTTCAAAGTAGTTTGAGGTCTAAATCAATAATACTAAATGAGATTTATTTATTTTTACTATTATTTTTAAAAAATCAAAAAATATTTTTAAATTTTTTTAAGTGAGAGAGGAAAATGTGATACTTTATTTTTGTTTTTAGGAGAGAGAGAGAAAATGGATGTGAGTAAATATCAGTTGATTTTTGAATATTTTTTTATTTGTTTTTAAAATTTTTGATTTTTGAGTTTCTAACGTTATGGATTGAATTGTAGGTCCAAATTATTGAAATTATAATTTTTTTATTGGACTTAAATTTTTTTGGGACTTTTTTTGTAAGGCATAAGATTTTCATGGATTTCAATTTTTTATATAGACTAGTTATGTACATAAACTCTCAACATTGAAAAATGAAAGATCTCACTATTTTTGGTCGTGTGAGTTTAAACATTTTCTATGTTTTTTTTTATTTTTTTCGGCACCACAAAATATTCACATATTTATTTCACGTATCTTTTTACAGATTGATGAAGACTTAGAGCAAACCATAAGATGAGCTTCATATCACTCATATTCTTAATAATTTTTTCTCATATAGTTTGTGTTCATTTACTTGTTAAATGCATATTCATGTATAAGTTCAATTGCTCAAGAAAAAAAATATTGGTGTTGTGATTCGCGACGAACTCGAACTCAATTGCATCCTCATTTCTGAGCTAGTGTCATGACACATCAGTTTGTTTATAGATTAGACTTTTTTTTTTTTCTATATAATGATTTTTATTTATTTATGATTACTATCTAAAAGACAAAAGAAAGAGCAGTCGTAACTGCAAATGCAAAAGGAAAATGAATATCAACATCTTTTGATAAGGAAAAGGTAAGTACTTCGTGTCAAGTGGTATTACATTGCTAACATTTTAACAATGTTATTTTATTGATCAAATGTTTTATTTATGTTATTTCATATATAGAATTTGGATGAAACAGTGTACGAGTTAAAAAGACTAAATGCAACCTACCTTTTTCGATGAGGTTGTTTGAATAAGATAACTAAATTTATTTTTTATAGTTTATTTTAGATTTTCAAGTTTATAATTTTAAAATTTCTGTCGTGTACTAAATTTAACTATTTTTGTAAATGTTAGATTGTTGTACATTCTCCCAGTTAGGAGTTTTGGATTTGAATTGATACAATTACATTCAAGGGTGTGATGGAGAAACTGTTTTTACAATGATGTGCTAAAAAATGACTCATTTTGATAAACTCGATTAAAGAATGACTCATTTTACGTATTTTGGTCATTCTTTAATCTTATTTATGTTTAGGCACAACTATGTGGATTTGTGTGTGTTTTGTTTGTTCCGTGTTTAGTAAGATGAACTAATTATACATGATTATGATGATATGCTTGATTTTGATGTGAATTTATGGTTGAGTATGGAATTAAGTTGTGATGTATGATGATTGTGGTGGAAATATAATTGAATTGTAGAGGTACAGGGCATTATTATGATTATTCTGTATGATTGTGAGTTTTATAGACAAATTGAAATCTTCTTGAGCTCCTATTTTTATAGGAAGTTTTGCCAAATTTTTTGAAAAATTAGTGGGGGCTTCATTGATTTCAATCTATTTAATTAAAGCGAATGTTGAAAAAATTATTTCAAATTAACCATTTATTTTAGGTTGCAAAGTGTCTTTAGGCACAATAATATTCTTCAAGTTCTAATTTAAGTTTTCGTTGCGTGGTTTTTTGTTTACTTTTGATTTTAGTATGGTGAACTAATTTCACGATTATGAGGATATGTTTAGCTTGATGTGAAATTGCTGATTGTTTTGATGGTTGGGTATGAATCGTTGATGTTAGGGGATTGTTTCGTTTGTTTTTCAGTTCTATACATAGGTTAGTATTTCATGGTCTTCTATTTTCAAAGGAAACCAAACTGAATTTTTAGCTTTGATTTGATTGTACTGTACATTCAAGAGACTCTGATTTTTGTAGATAGACTGAGATTTTTTGAATTCTTATTTTTAGAGTAAACTTTGCCGAAATAGTCTCCAAATAATATTTTTTAAATTAAATAATTTTTTTTAGGGAATTAACTGGTTGATCTACGTTGTACCGTGCCTTCTGATAGATAATTAAAAACAATAGATCCACTATACTGTTTTTTTCCTTTAAATTTTCTTTCTTACTAAATTACACGTAATATAGACAAAGACCAACTTCTATGTAAAACGTGTTATTTGATTTTATAGTCGGTAATCAATCAAAATAGAAAGAAAATAATATATTTGAGTGATCTCAAATTCTTATTCAAATTTAGACTTAAATTTAAATTTCAATAAAAACAAACTAAAATAAATTTAATATTTTACTCAAATTTGTTTAAATTTTAATCCAAATCAAGGGATACTCAATTTTGACTTAATATATTTGAATATCATATTATACCATCTTTTGAATATCCAGCTGTGGTATTTTCACTTTACTTTGTGCATTTTTCTACTCTATCTTTATCTTTCTTGTGTTTCTAAGCACATTGATAAAGCAAAAAATTATTGACTGTCAACTCAGATCATTCACCACCAATGTTAACTTAGATTTGGCAATGTTAACTTGAATTTTATTTTGGGGGAAGAGTTCAAATAAAGGGAAAATAGAAAAGGAAATGAATTTGAAAACAAATAATTAGAAAAAAAGAGGCTTTTGAAAGTAAAGAAGTAAATATTCAAAAAGAAGAAAGAAGTAGAAAACAAAGGAAAAGAAAAAAGTTTTGATAAAAAATGAAAGAAATGAAGTATAAATGTATTGAGTGTGTTTTTTAACGATCTATAATATAAAATAAGATAGATTTTAATAAATTTATTTGACAGTTTTAAATAGATTCATCCAACGGTCATCAACATTCCTCTAAAAATTATTTATATTACATCGTACTTTCAGACATAGACTATCCATACTTTATATATATATATATATATATATGCATATATATATATATATATATTCAGACACAGATTATCCCTGTTCCAATGGACACATACACAACAATCACTGGCAACCCGTTTTGTCTCGTACGAAGAATGGCAACAGACATTTGTGAAATAATTGGGACCGATTTTTTACTCACTAAACCAACTGCTCAGGGTCGCCCAATTGTATTAAAAAAAACGTGAATTTTAGGTCTCAAATTTTTAGAATATACCATCATTTTGATAGTAGAGAGTATCAGTAACGAAATTAAGTTGCAAGATTATTTTACAGGGCTCAGCATTGGGTGTCATCAGCGCACCAAACGCACAACACAGAGACGAAAGAGAAAGAGAAGTGTGTGAAAACTTAAAAGAAGAAAAAAAAAACACAAAAAATAAAAAAAATTAACTCCCTTTCTCTCTGTCTCTTTGTTTCTCTCTCTGAAACTCTCTTTCTTTCTCTGTATCTTGCTATTCTGTGAAAGTTTTCTCTGGCCATGGTGTCATCTACGCGGTTAAGAATCACAAGGAGCCACCGATGA